CTGTTAGGGCTAGAAATGCCTAAAACTATTGCTCAGAGCCCAGAGCTGAGGTGTGAAACACACCACTAAGTGCTGGGGGATTCATAGTTACTTGCAGACCACAGTGTGAGTGGGCAGGCTTGTGAGCCTTTTTGAAGGGAGGCATGATGCTTTGGTGTGCCCAGTAATTGCATTATGAGTTCTAACTGATGTAAGCAACGAAGAGAGAGTGCCTCATGGCATGGAAAAAAAGACTGGCAGATGCCTCTAGTCATTTGCTGTGCTTTGGTAAGAGATTGTCCAAGTGAACATCTCTCCATTCAATCACATTTTCCACTGGAAATTCCTCTTTCCTTCGCTTATCTTACAGCATATGAGACTCTCTGTGGGCTCATTTGAATAGGTTGCCACACAGGTACATCAGATGAAACCACAGGCTGTAGCCTCAAAAGGAGCGGAAATACTATTTTAAAGATCTTGTCTCTCTCTGAGAGTCAGGTTGGCACCGTCTGTTGCTTTCCTGCTTTTACATGTACTTGCCAAAAAAAAAAGAAAAGTCTGTACTCTTTAAGGACTTAAAAAACCCCAACTAAATAAATAAAAATTGCTCTCAAACCAAAATGTGCTGCCATTATGCTGCATCTTCAGAAAATCCAAGGTAATTTCATGAAACCCTGCATGTTTCTGGTTGGGGCAATATTTAAACCCGGAGGCATGTCATAGGATTAATTACTATATCTGTCTCTGCATAACGGTGGTAGGTCTGTGTGAGTAATTGGGGCAGGAGCTGGTGTCTAAAATCCCCTTTCACACCCCAGTTTAGCAGCGTCACACAGGTGAGGAATCAGAAATATGACTCACATTGGTAGTGATCACTGAGATTAAACTGGAGAACAACCCTTCTTCTAGCTAGAGTGCTGGATGGTGACAGCAGGATCTGTATGGCTCTGTTGTGTGCCAGCTCAATAAATCGCCTTTTGGGGCCTCTGGTTCCTCACCTGTGAAATGCTGGGCAGGAAAGAGTGGGACAGCACTGTTCATCTTGGCAAGAGCAGTGAAGAAGAGCTCTGCACAGAAGCCGCCTACTACCAGAATTCTGCCCTTGATTATTATTCCTCACAATGAAGAATAAGGAGAAAAACTGAAGTTAAAAGATATTTCTTTTAGGCCACAGAGGGAGGAAAGAGGGCCTAAGAGACAGGCAGATGAGTGTCAACCATGGGTGTGACAGTGAATTCATTCACCAGGTTTTCTTTAATGATGCTCCTTGAAGAACTGCATTTTAATAGACATTTTACAGTGGGGATATCACTTGCAACTTGACATAAAATCTGAACTGCACCATACTTACAGTGAAAACTTGTAAGGAGTTAATTAAAATGTCAGTATTGTTTTACTGCTTATTTGTCTGTCAAATGCCCTTCATAAAAATAATGACCCCAGATGTGGTGGTTCATCTGGATGATGGTGATTCCTTCATCACCACCTGAATCCAGCACAGCAGCCACTGGAGAAATAGATGTGGCCGCTGGTGTAAGGAGGCATCAGTATGTATGAAGCGGCTGGGGAACACATGCTCTGTCCAGATTTGCATACACCATCCTGTAATTCAGGCACTTTGTCATGACATGCTATTTCTGGGCATGGTGGGTCATTACTGGCTTAATAAGAGCTTCCTCTGAAGCTGGCAAATCCCCTCTCCTGTCCCTAACTCAGGCGCTATTGGTAAGGAGAAAGACTTGGAGTAGAAGGCGAAGGTGGGCATGGAAGGGTGGGCTCAAAAAGAGCTGTTACTTCATGAATGCTGCAGGTCTTATGGAGCTCACATTTATGGTCTGTAGCCTCCTAGATCTTGGAAAGCATGCCTTGCAAGTGGCACAGAATAGGGAGAAGTCAGTAGCATCTGCTTTCACCCTCTGGAGACCACAGAGTTGTTAATTCCTTTGAATATTTTTTAGGGGGCATTAATTGCTATCCATCAATAACTACTAGGGTATTCTGTTGGAATATTAACAGAGAAACTTCGGTGTCTTTATCCAGCTTTATCCTCTTAGGTATCATAGAAAGGTTTGTAGAATGTGATCAATAGAAGTAAAGGATATTATTTAATTCATTTTTTGTTTCAGTACAACAGTAGCATAATTATTGCACATAATTTTGCAATGAATTTTTTATGTAAAAGTAGTATAATTGCAATCTCTTCACTCTTCTTGATCACCTTCAGGTCTGTCTCCTGTTCATTTGAATGGATGCAAAATTAACGGTTTTTCCTGTTCTTTATAATGATAAATGACCATAACTAGATCACAGAGTTTTGCTTACATATGTAAATGATGCTAAATCAATTTGAGTTGCATTCATCTCTTTTGAGGTTGATGAATTGCAAATTATGAGTACTGGCAACCTATTACTCCTCTTTTTCTGGCCGCCAGCCCCAACAATCACCCCAGTTATATTATATTATGCTTTTTAAAAGATGATTGTTACATTAATGCTAGTGAGGATAGGAACTCAAGTGTGTGAAATACATATGTAGAAGGAAAGCTTAGCCCTAAAGAGCTGAAAAACTAGTTAATAGGATGGTAGGAAGAGGTCATGTAGGAAAGATGGAGAAAAAAGTGAAAACAGAGCAGTAATACTTTATATTACATTGTCTTACACAAAATGCATGATATGAAGACTTCTGGTGGGAGGTCTTCTGAAACTTCATAAACTCTGTGTCAGATCCTGACCAGAGTGCTCTCAAGACAGAGCAGAGACTGCTTATGGAAAATCAGTGGGTTTGCAGTGCTCTCTGTAAAGGTGCTCCTTGACTTTGCAGAACTCTAGTAGAAATCCAAGGATGTGCCTGTTAAGAGTCAAGGTTTAAGGGCAGAGTGATACTGAAGAGGCTGTGGTGAGGTCTGACGTAAAGGCCCTAAACAAGATGTGGAGGATGAAGCTTTCTCCAGACAATTATATAAGTCTCCTGATTGCAGACATTTGAGTCCCATTTCTCACAGGACATTTCAGCTGCCCAGATTTGTACTGCTAGGCTTGCACCATGTAAGCAACCAAAGAAGTCCCTAGACTATGTTGCTCACAGTTTATAATGCAAATGGTGGAGGGGCTATGTTTGACCTGCTGCTTGCAAAGTGGGGAGGACTGTCAGAAAGTATGGCAGAAATGGCAACTTGAGCTGCAGCAACCATGAGATGATTGAGTTCAAGGTACAGAGGAAGGCTGGGAAGAAAAGCAGCAGAAAGAAGGATCCTGGACTTTATAGAACAGAGTTTGGCCTAGGGAAGTTGTGTGCAAAATTCCTAGGGAAGCTGCCAAAAGGGAAAGGGGAACAGGAGCTCTGGCTGATTCAAAATGGAAAAGCATAAATAAATTAATTAAAAAAAATCAAAACCCCAGATACAAGTACGCAAAACCCCTAAAACTTACTGAGATGTGAAGAACAATCTGCCTCATTGTACAGGATGGGCTTTCAGCAGAAGGCTCTCCTGACCAAGCATGGAGTTGTATGGTGAGCCAGTAAGGCGACCACACAGCATGCTAGAATTGAAAAGATTAATGTGGAACAAAGGAAGAGTATAAACATATTGTTTGAGCCTTTTTTTGGCAAAAACGAGTAAGGTCAAGGCCCATGTGGAGCTAAGATGAGGAGAGGGCATTTAAAATAACAGGAAGGGATTCTGCTTAACAAGAGGTTCAAAGAGCATGTAGGCCTTTGGGGGAGAACAAAAAACCAGTGGTTTTTTTTTCAGTCAGACAAAGCCTACTCCCAGCTTTATACATACCAGCACTATTTGGTATAGAAGACAGCCTACAGGGAAGAAGCAATGAGGTAGCGGCAACTACAACTGGATGTAATCAGATCCATAGGGCTTGATGAGGTTCATCAGTATTGAAAGAGTTACCTGTTACCTATCATCTGTGAAAAATCAGGGTGATCTGCAGAGGCCCATGAAGACTGGAAAAAGGCTACAGACTAAAACGCCTGTCTTGCATATGGGCAAAAAGGAGAATCCAGGGAACAATATGACAGTTATTGTCACCTCATTCACTGAAAAAGAACATCTTGAAATTCATTTTCAAACATAGCAAAGACAAGAAGCCAGTGGCCTGTATGAAGAGGCAGATGGCACCGTTAGCAAATTTACAGACTGTGTTAAGTGGGGGGGAGTGATTGACACACAGAATGGCACAGCTTTAGTCCAGAGGAATCTTCAGGAAGTTGAAGACTGGGACAACAGAAGTTTCATGAGTTTAAGCAAGAAGAAATGCAAGTTTCTGCATTCAGGGCAGAGTAACTCCAGCAGTGGTACAAAGTGGTAGCTGGCTAAACAGCAGCCTGGCTGGAATGGACCTCAGGGTTATGGTGACCTGTTGAGGCATGTATGGTTGAGCCAAAGGTAAAGGCAAGGTAAACCATGCATTGGGCTAAAAGAAGCATAGCCAGCAGATCAAGTTGTTGTTCTCATTCACCTTTACTTGGCACTGGTTAGGCCATACCTGGAATCATGCATCCCTTACTGAGCCTCCTTCCTCCCTCCAGTTTGAAGAAGGCTGTAAAGAGGCTAGAGGCATTCAGCAGAGAGCTGCCAGGATACTGAAGGACCAAGAGCAGAAGCAGCGACTGACAGATTAGTCTGTTGAAGAGGAGGCCGTAGGGAACATGTTACTGAGAAAGACTGTGCAACCTCCACCATGGGACATTTTGAAGAGCTGGCCAGACAAACCACAGCTGATGGGCCCCAGTGCAGGTGATACCCATGGTATCAAGCAGGAGGATGGACTAAATGATATCCACATGTCCCTTTCAAGCAATTTTCTATGACTCTATTATAAATATCATCTGTAAGTAATAAGAGATACCTATATGATTGCACAGATGCAAAGACAAGTCTTATCAAGATGAGACAGGCTTCTGGGTCAGAGCAAAAGCAAAAATCTCTAGGAATGTTATTAATAATGTTTCATTTTTCTTTTACATGTGACCTAACAAAGGAAAGTTCATATTTTTGTGCCTCCAGGAAATGTTTCCTGAAACACTGTTCTTCCTCTTCCTGATAACCACTGAGCAAAGAGTTTGTTCTGTTTCCCAGTATTAGTCTGTGTCTGCCTGCAGGTTCCTGCTTCTTTGTAGAGTTTGAAGTCACTTCTGCTGAACTTTTCTTTGTTATACACTTGTAAAATCATTTGGTACCTGAGTTATGACTCCTGAAACTTTCTCTTGATTTTTGCCCTTGAGTGTCTTTATTGGGTTTGGTTGGGTTTTGTTGCTGTTGCTGGTTTTAACAACCTTTATCCTAGATCATACAACTGCAGTCAGCATAACTTATAAAAGTTTGATTTGTGATCTTCTCATTTACTCTGCTTGAGTTTCCTCCATATTAGGGAGTGTACAGTTCTCATCCTTTGCAAAGCCCAGCCAGATTTTTTCCAAGTGAAAAAATATTGCTTCAGCTAATGTATTGCTCTTCTGAGCTCTCCGAGGAGAGGAGGGTGTAGTGGAGACACCAGGATTGTATTTTTTTTGGGTCTATGACAGAGGAAGAGCATGGAAGTAGGTACAGAATAGCCATCAAACTCACTGGGGCATTATAAATATTCTCTCTGCGTTTCAATGTAAAACTGAGACAGTTCAATGTACTTGCAAGTTCCTCCTCTGCTGAAACTAGGCTGTGGTCTCCCTCATCTCCAGACAGTACCTTTTGCAAGGGAGTGTGTGTGGGACTTTCTCAGGCTTTCCAGTTACGTCTGTTCTGCCTTACATTAATAGTCATTGAACCACAGAAAGACTGACTTGGCTTCCTTCACACTCTTGTTGTAAATCAAGCAGAGCTGGGACTTGTGTCTGGTTCTCTCATATACTACATGAATTTCCCTGACAAGCAAATTACGATTATCCTGGCATTCTTCCTAGTTTTGACCCAAGTTTGTGCCTCTCCTTGTTGATGCTGCCTTATTTTCACCAAAGCTTGTATTTGGCTAATGAATATTTTTAACAGTAACAGAAATAACAATTATTGTGTAGCCACACAACTAAGAATCCTAGAATCTTAATTGGGATGGTTATTTGTACACAAAAGGAACAAAGACTATGGGAGACCCCAGACAGCTGATGAGTGACAGGATTCAATAGAGTGAAGCAAGAAAAGAAATGGAAAGTGGCTGTGTGCACATTCATGAGAAGGGAAATATGTTGGTGAAATGGTGAAATGAGCATAGAAGATTGGAAAAGTTATTCTTTGTTGTCTTTCTATCTGTACCCCTTCCTCCAGTCTGCCCTTGTTAATAAATAACACTCATTGTATTCAGCTTCCAAAAGTTGTGTGCAGTTCTGTGGGACTGATTTGGACCTTTGCTGGGGTTATGAATAGTACTATCTAGATTTTTTTCTATTATATTTGGTGGTTTCCATTCCTTTGTGTTATTGTTACATTATCTTCCTTGTTTTCTCTTGTTATGTACGACTTCATATTTGACGTGTGCTACTCTGTCACATGCCATTTGATTATGTAGTTTCTGATCTTTTTACATATTCCTCCAACTTCACCTCCTTTTGATTGGCTATTAGTTGGATCATTGTTCTCATGCATTAGTTTCTGCCAGTGATTTGCGATTTCATTTTTTCAGCTGCACATTTTGGTTTTACTTTGATACTGCTTCTGCATGCTCCATTACTATCCCCAAACAGTATGAGCCCATAGTGATTTCTGTGATTCAGCCACAGGACTGATATTGCTGTCAGTGAAACTGAAAGCAACTGCAGGGGCATATTCAGAGGGAAAAAGAGCTGGCCCTAAGTTTTTGCATTTATGTCCTGTATTAGTCTAAATGGTGGAAGGAGAAGAGGATGTTAGACAGTAGCAACACGGTAGCATCTCCTTTCGCTGTGTGAAGCTGATTCCAAGTATGACAGTAAGTTCTTACCTACTGAAGCAGTCTCTCACTGCCTGCAGAAGAAAGCAGCAGGACAGAGTTCTAATTGTGTTTGGCTGCTCCTTTGAGGTTTCATGCAGAGCGTAAGTGGTACAGACTGGAAATCTCTGAACTGAAAGAGCTGGCATTTATCAGCAATTTGGAAGGAAAGGTATACTTGTCACATAGATGCAGATGATATAGTGACCCAGTAGGTGGATAGCAGCATTTAAGACCTTCAGGCAGAGAGTCCAGTTTGTTCCACTCAGAAGAAGGGTATTGTTCAAACCACTTTTCATACCACTCTTCCAAGTGCAAATACATAGCTTGGCATTCCTCCACCCACCCCCAGCCCCAGTGTGTACTATTCTATGGAAATTACTGTGCTTTCAACCAGTGCTATTTTATGAAGGAAAGGGTTGGGTTCATTTTGTGAGATGTAGCAGGTTGTAGGTAACAGAATTTCACTCTCTGCAGGTGCCAGTGGGCTTTGATGTACAACCAACGTAAGTGGGGTTGTGGACCGTCTCTTTCCCTTCCCTACTTTAAGGAAGCTAGTATTGCCTGTGATTTATCAACACACACACACTTTTATATGGAGTCAGTGTTACAACAGTACACAGCAGAGCAGGAGGGCAGGATGCTGTTCACGTTCACTTCTATTCCTTACATATTATAACACACACAGCCAAGTGTGCTTTCAGTTCAGTTTCTTCTTAGCAATTAATAACTTACAGTTTGGTAAACAGCTCACCTATGGCAAATGTTTAATGTTTAAATTAACAGGTTTCCCAGGGAATCACCATCCTTGGATAAGGCCCTTAGTGACGTTTTTTTGGTGGGCTGGGAAATCCTGGGTAACGGTTTGACTTGATGGTCTTAAAGGTCATTTCCAACCTAGCTGATTCTGTGTGATTATGGCTGATTCTGCATGATTAAATTAATATTAAATGCCAAGGTATGGATGGAAAAATGTGGAAGCAATGAAGATTTGATCCAGCAGTATATATATACCCCACAAAGCACTTATCATGTGGATCAAGCAACTTACTACATATTCTGAGATTAGGTCTTTCAGAAGGTTCACCTGTGTTTGCTGTCAGGTTTTGTTTGCACAAGCAGAGATTGCTGGTGACAGAGTGGTGTTATGCTACCAGGGAGATACTTGGGTGAGCTCCTCATAGGATTCTTGCATTTCCTCACATGGACTTACACCTAGGGAGTTCTCTAGTTTTGTGGGCAATTTCAGCTAGAAGGAGGTCTTTATGGAAGTGTGTCTTCTTTATCAAATACAGAAGACAGTGTGCTGCTCTGAAGGAAGAGTACAATATGAAAAGTGGATGGGAATTTAAATATTAGTATAATGAAGACAGAGGGCCTTTTCCTTTCCCTTTTGTCTTCCTCTTCCACTTCACCTTTCTCTTCCCCTTTCCTTCATTGTAATCAGGCTGACATTCCCAAATAAGATGGGGAAAACATTTCTGCTCCTGTATTGCTACTTCAATCCATTTGCCTGCTTGCAACACCAGATTTAACATTCAGAGCTAAACCCGTGTAAGGAAAAAGTTTAATACCTCTTTACTTCAGTTTGATGGTGTCTTTACTAGTGTCTTCATCACTAAAAAAAAAAGTAAATATGTTATTACAGTGTTAATGTGCATCTACACCAGGCACAAGTTTGAGTTTTGCTCATGATTAGTTAAAAAAGATGCTTTACCTCTAACATAATCACCACCTCTTTCCAACTGGAAGGATGCCAAACACACCTTTACTTTCTAAAGTTCGGTCTCTCGTTTATTTTCGCACTTCTCAGTTTAATAAGCCTCTGATATAAACCCAGGTTCCATAAGGGTCTTAGTGCCATCCATTTTTGTCAAGAAAATCAAACAATAAGGTAAGATCCAGCCCTAGAGAAGGCAGTGGGGTTGGACTTGAGTGAGCTCGATACCATTTCTCAAAAATCACCACACACCTGAATGTATATTTTAAAATAAAATGTCACATCATTAAATGGGATTTCTTCGGTGCACTGTAGAAGCGTTCTAGTGCATATGCTGAAGCTGGCATTGAATCTCGAACTTCTTTTCAAGGTGATGAGTGCAATACCAAAATATTAGTATATTTGTATGAATAATGCCAACAGTTATTACAAGCCCACCTTTTGTTGAACTAAGCAGCCACTTTGTGAAACAAATGTAAAATTTGAGCTTAGTCAGGAGATTTTGCCAAACACGATATTAACTGTAACTGCTTGCCATCTTGTAGTGTTTAGAAACTCTAAAACTCCTGAGAGACACATACACACGCCACATTACTCAGGACCGCTTACCAAGTCCACTCTCACTGCACTGTCTGAGCAACCAGCTCATTTTCTGGGTACCTGGGATTACACCGAACTTTTCTCTTCAGCAGATGGCATGGTAGTCATGACACTGAGGAAACTCTAAGCAACAAATCAGCCATGAGAATGGAGCAGATGAAAATACTTCCTTTTCGTAACATTTTCCATGCTTTCCTTGCTCTTACTTCTCTGCATACATATGCTTACATGCATGCATGCGTGCCCCACTATGTGTCCAGTGCTTTGCTGTTAAACTTGTTCCAAGATAAGCATCTGGCATTCACTGTGTCCTGCAGATGGGCCATGAGTGACACACACACACGGTGCAGCTGTCTGTATCTGGCACTCAGGTGATTATTTGTTTGCTAATCAACCAGCAGCTCTATTAGTTGAGTTGAAGGTTAGGAGAAGGGTGATTAAATATACAAAAAGAGAGGGTGTTACGTAGTTGTGGGTGAAATGCTGGGTTGTAATTACAAGAGAGGTAAGGATTGTTATTGTAACCAGGGCTGTAGCAAAAATTAATCTATCTATTCAGACTGCTTGTCACTGAATATCCAATGGCAGTTTCCTAAAGCAGAACAAAACACCAAACCCGCTCTGTTCTGCAGTGAGAATAAAGAGGTATCTCCAAATTTGCATTAAAAAGCTGCAGTCACCTGCAAAAATGATCAAATTTCAAACCAAATCAAATATGCAGTTTCTCACAACCTCTTGCAAAGGACGTCAAGAGTTATGTGTGAAAAGAGGAGTGCAACCTGATAGCTTTGTGCTGCTCAGTTCAATTAGCTTAGCTAGCTGACCAAAACCGCAGGTGTTAATTCTGCAGGTGCCAGTTCGGTTTAATCAATCTGCAGGTTTAATCTGATGCTTAGTGTAGCTCAGCTGGCCAAACAGCAGGCTTAATGCCTAGCAGAGAGGGATGGTCACCTGCTCTAGGATGTGATTTGTTGCTGTATTTAATGCATTTTATAATGTAGCTCCATATAATTTTTAATTTAGTGTGGGTTTATATGAGCATTTAACGTCTATAGAATGAGGAAAAAAAAATCCTCAAATGATTCTGAAATGTCATCATTTTATCATTAAAATACACAAGGGTGACATCCTGAGGTCATTGGTTTTGACCTCTGCAGGAATGGAATGGTGTTATTAATTTTAAGTAAAATGCTCCTGTGCTGTGGGCTGGAGCATGTAACATAGCAGGGTGGGCTGACAGAACTTGGGTGTTTGGCCCAGAGAAGAAAAGGCTAAGGGGAGATCTAAGTGCTATCCTCAGCCTTCCAAAGGGGTTTACAGAGGAGACAGAGGCAGGCTCCTCTCAAAGCTGCTCAGCAAAAGTACGAGAGGTCTCAAAATGCAGCAAGGTGAGTTCTGATAATAGGAATGAAGTTCTTAACCAGGAGATTGAGTCAAACACTGGAACAGATCATTGGGCAGAAACATTGGAGTCTTTGTCCATGGAGATATTGAAAGCTTGCAAGGCAACTTGGTCTGTCTTGAGTAAGTAGTGGAATTGGAGACCTCCAGAGACCTCTTCTAACCAAAATTGTCCCGACATCCGCATTGCTGTTCTAGGTTCACTTGGCCCTGCTCTTCCCTCTTGATTTTCCAGAAGGAGATGGAGCTCATCCTCACCTTGGGATCCTAAAAGAGAGCTGAAAGGATGGCAGAGCAGGCTTGATTTGTAAAAGAAGCTTTTAAAAAGTGACTGTGGCTTTGTTAGTTTGCTGTTTCTAATTGAAAGCTCATGAGGAGTATGGTTTTGCTTTCTAGTGGTTAGCCAGCTGACTCGTGTGCCATCACTTGTAAGGA